GGATGGAACTGGAGGATATTATGCTAAGTGAAATTAGAGAAAGATAGATATCGTATGACTTCACTCATATGAGGGCTTTAGGAGACAAAACAGATGAACATAAGGGAAGGGAAGCAAAAATAATATAAAAACAGGGAGGGGACAAAGCATAAGAGACTCATAAATATGGAGAACAAACTGAGGGTTACTGGAGGGGGTGTGGGAAGGGGTATGGGCTAAATGGGTAAGAGGCATTAAGGAATCTACTCCTGAAATCATTGTTGCACTATATGCTACCTAATTTGGATGTAAATTAAAAAATAAAATTAAAAAAAAAAACACCAAAAGAGGCATCTCTGTACTAATCAGGTTTTCTTAATGACCTCTCAAATTCTATTAATGTTGGTTCTATTGTCTTAGAACACTGTCTAGTGCTGAAAGAACAGAGTTTACTACCAGCTGTCTTCTCACCTCCATGATTTAGCCCCATCATAACTTTTTAATCTTTTATCTCCTACTACTTCCCCTCAACATGTAACATTACTTACTATGGTAGGGAGCACATTAAGAAATGAGAGATATCATGACAAGGATGTGCCTTCACTACTTCTTTTTGATCTACTGCCGAAGAAGACCATTTACATTACTTCCAGGGTTTCTTCCCTGTGTCTAGAAAATTCATTTCCCCTGATTTCTACTTGCTGAAATCCATCAATCCTCTATCATACTGTTAAAAGTTTACGCCAGGTATCTACAAGAACCTACACCCTTAATGGTGAAATACTGGTCTCTGAGGTCAGGACCAAGACAAGGATATGGACTATCACCACTTTGATTCAATGTTGTATTAGAGATCCCAGCCAGTTGTTGTTCCTGGGAATACAGCAGAAAACAGGTCACAAAGGGGCTGTGACCCCATGGAGCAAATAGGCTGACTTCAGAAAGTGTTAAGTGTTACAGACTCATAGAAAAGGGGTGACAGGTTATAAAGAGATAGGACTGGAGGACAGGTAAGTCATTCACTGTTACTGACTCTGAAAGATGACAACAGATCCGAGAACTGAATGGTGAGAAGAAGTCAGTCACTCACTAGACAGAGATTATTCTGGGTAGAGGAAAGTATAATTAAGAAGCGCAGATTCCTCAAGAAATAGAAAGTCAGTGCAGCATGGTCGGCATGGAGGACTTGGGGCATCGGGAGAGTTTGGGAAAACCTGGAGAAGTGAGGTGACATCAACAATGCAGTGGCTGGCAAAGGCAAAGACAAATACCAACGTTCACTGGAAATCATCTGGAGAGGTAAAGAGAAGCCAAGAGACAGGTACCCAAGAAACTAAGGCAGAAGATGATCTCACAAAAGAACCATCAAGTAAGATAAGGATAATAAAGAATAGTTACGAGTTTGCCAAATCCAGTAGGTGAAGGCCTAAAAGAAGAATCTCGTGTGCAGTGGGTTGAGAAGTGAATGAAAGTTCAAGTATAAAGGATGAGTATACAAAACTCAAATAATTTGACTGCAGAGGGAAGGGGAAATAGAGTGTGGTTTTAACAGGGAGTGGTGGCTCTTTGTTTTCTTTTTAAGATAGGGAAGATTTAAGTAAGTTTATGTGTAAAGAGGAAGGATCCAAAGGAGAGAAAGAGTGAAATGAAAAAGCAAAGTTTTAGAAGAGGTAGAAGGGATGGGATCTAGAGCTAGGGTCAAGATAAGGAGGAGATCATATTTCTGAGGGGAGAAAAGTTGGGGGTTCAAACAGGGTACTGGTAGAGGTTTGCAAAGACAAATGTGAGGTGATCTGTGTGGTTGTTCTTAGTCTTTATATAGCTGGGCATTGTTATGGGAGCAAGTAGATTTGTCTGTAGAGCATTTTTAAAGGCAACAATCTGCACAGTAATTCCATTTTCTCCAGTGTTTCAGCAGCCTTAGAACTGGAGAAGCAAATAACCTACTATGTCATCTGTAGCATTTTTGCAGTTTTTAAGGAATTTTACCTCTCATTATAAAAATACACAGCTCTGCCTACCACTCCAAGAAAAAATGGAAAGTTCCTTGATTATTCTTGATATGTCTTCCTCAGTGCCTTGAACAAAGCAGGAACTCAATAAATACTGGCTAAAAGAATGGGTATAGTACATAGTATTTTAAAACATTGCAATACAATTCAAAAACATCCTTTACTTCACCACCTCATATAAGTCAATGACATCACAAAGACGAAGTTTACTACTTAAGTCAGATGTTTAGAGCAATAATGTAACAGATTAGGATACCCCCTTTAATTAGTCACTTGTTTTAGCAAAACACATCGCTAAAAGTAATGTTGCCTTATTTCATGAGAGTCTTAAAACACAGCATCTCAACCCCAATACTTACTCTAAATGAAAATAAAGATGAACAGTTAGCTAACTGCTTTTAACTCAGAAGCCCTATATACCTGCATTCCACTTATAACCAAAGCTATTTACCTCTAAACTGTAAAAGTTGCTTTACATCACGGTCATTTCCAATAGACTTCATACACAGCCAGAAACCTTCTCTGATTTCTCATTGTTTTGAATCACTCAAATGAGGAGATCGCTAGAGAACAGCATCAACCGAATATCACCTCCTGATCCAGTCTGTTTACATTCCATTATGCACACACTCATCCACACACAACCAAACAACTAGTTTAGGGATGGGCACCATCAACAGCACCCTGTGGACAGACCATCAAGCACCAACCTTGCCCAATGTGGGTTGGAAGCTACACCTGAATTGCCAGCTCTTTGGCGCTGAGCACCTCCAAAAGGTGAGACATCGCTTTACTGACGGGAATACTGGGGGCAGATCCTGTCTGTCCAAATACCACAAAAATTAATTAGAAATACCAAACACGCACCAAGTGCGAATGAAAATGCCAAGTCTTTTTCTTGAAAGAAAATGCTGTCCACTGGAGGAGGAAAAGGGGGGGGGGGTGCAGCAAGAAAAAAGGAATAGGAACCCCCACCTCCAACATATCAAGTGTGTGCAAATATCCCTTCGAAACGACTTCTACAGAATCGGAGGTCCTGGAGGAGCTCTGATCCAGGAACCAAAACCACCTCTTGGCCACCTGTGTCCAAGCAGAGCAAAGTAGTTTGGATAGGAGGGGAGTTTCGGAGGGGGCCTCCGCTCCCAAGTGGCACAGAGGTCCGTACAGGAAAGCTGTTCGGCAGACAGAAGGCGAGAGAGTCGGCAGTCCGGGGAGGAGAAAATGGGGGCAGCGAAGAGCAAAGGGGATGGACGCCTGGCTCCAGCCACAGCTGTCACAAGCTAGATAGATCAAGGCAGTAAGACGAGCCTCCTCCGGCCCCAGCTCCGGAGCTCCCTTTACCTGCCCCTAGTCCCCAGACACAAACATACAACACCCACACGTACACACCTGCCCCGCGACCCGCAGGTGGCACTCTCGCGGTCAAGGGCGACAGGAGACTCGGAGGGCGACGCGCCGAGTCCGCGGCGCAGGTGGCCCGGCTACTCCTGAGGCTCACCTGCGGAGAACCGGGGGCCCGGGGCAACTCGCCTCGGCCCCTCGGCCCCCCGCCCCCTCGTACTCACCCAGATGATGAGGCTGTCGCATAACGGCAGCTCGGACTGCGGAAGCGGCTGCGTCTCTTCCATGGCCGGGGCCGCCGTCGACTACGCCGCCGCTGGCACCGACACCTCCCTCCTCCCCGCGCTCCGCCAGGAGCCGGCGTCGACGACCTGCTCGCCGGCCGGGAAAGCTCGGTAGCCAGGCCCAGCGCCCGCGCGGCTCACGCGCGAAGCCTCGCGCGGCCGACGTCGCCGGCGTAACCCCCTCCTCGCCACCGCCCCCGTCCCCGCTCCGCCCCGCTCCGCCGTTCGCCCCCTGCCGGGTCCGGCTCGGCTGCGCGGCTCTGCACCTGAGCCCCGCCCCCTCCTGCCCCTTCCCCGCCCCTCCCGCCCCTCCCGTCCTTCCCCCCTCCTTCCCTATCCCGCACACCTCTTCCCGCCGCACTGAGTGACCAGGGCGCGCACCAGTCACAAAGAAAGTAGGTGCTCGAGAGGGGCGTGCGGGGCGGGAGGGGGCGGGAAGAGCGGGGATAGGTTGCGCAGGAGGGATTGCTGATTGGACGCACCCTCTTGGCTCCGACCAATCAATGTGAGACAAGACAGCCTCCGGGAGGGAGCGCGGGAGGGTGGGAAGGGGTTTGTGACCTGGCAGGTGCGGTGGGGACGGGGGCGGGGAGCGCGCGTGCGCGGCTGGGCGATGTAGCGGCTGAAGCTCACGCTGCCCCAAGGGCAGAGGAGGCCGCGGGGCTCCCAGCGTTAAGTAGGGCGGGCTCAAGCATCTTCGCGCCTCCTTCCCCTCAGTAGGGCAGCTCCTGGCTACACCTGTGGAGATCCACACTGCTGCCCTCGTGTCTTCAGAAATAGATCCTACTCGAGAAAAGGAGAGCTGATTTTCTCCCGGTCGCTCATTGGAAAAGGACATTTTCCTTTGCAGACATGGCAAAGAAATGTGTTTGCTAAGGGGGGAGAATACCATAAAGCTACTTAAGTTAAATAAGCTCGCACAAGATCACAGAGACGGGCAATTGCATTTTAAATGGGGCGAAAAGGAAGACCATTTTCAGGTAGGAAAATGGAAAATGAAATCATCTTCTTTAGTTTTCAAAAAACATGGAAGATAACAGTGTACAATGCTTCCGATTTTCCTTTGGCGGATGAAAACTTGCCTTTTCTGAGAATGTTTGTGAGGGAGGGGGTGGCGTAGAGTTGGAAGCTCTCCAAGGTACTGATGTATGGCTTAGGCTGTTGAAATGGGTTGGGATATTCTTACTCTTACTGTTGATTTCCATCACTTCACTCATTCATAAACTCATCAGTTCATGCTCTGTGTAAAAATGCAGCTGGCTCATTTATATTGCCACGGTCTTTATATTTAGACATTGAAAGTTTAAAACTGATGGATAACTGCAATTAAAAGCCCTCAAATGTAAATCAGTCTCATTCTAAAAATACAGTACTTGCATTTGCTATCAAGTCTCTTAACCTCATTCTAGAACTTTCTTACCCCATGTGGAGTCATTTTATATTTCTGGACAACAGCAACATCAGTAATATGACTTAACTGAAAAGGAAAAGGAAAGGGAAAAGATCTAGGAATTGAAGACCTGGTCTGAATCTTGACTTTACTTCCCACTGGCTGTTGACAGCTTTCTCCTATGGAATCCAACGTCCACATTTCTAAAATGATGCTGATGACACTGACCTGCCCCGTCTCTCTCTGATAATGGGTGTGAAAACTGATAATGGGTGTGAAAGAGTTTTATGAATTAAAAACTCTTTTGCAAATATGAGTTACTACAATCATATATGCTTATCACTAAGAGTCACAGGTGACTGAAGTATTCAGAATATTTAAGAAGAATAATGGGGGGAGGAACTGAGTTATCCTTCTGAGCGCTGTAGGAGCAGAGAACAGATCCTAAGGGAAGGATGTTCAGTTGTCTTCATGATACTAGATCTAAAGGAAAAATATGTGAAGCATATGATCAGTGAATTCAGAAAAGAAGAAATACAGATAGTTCAAGGAAATGTGAAAAGATTTGAAAAATGAAAAACATAAATCATTGAAATAAAACAACAAAAATAATGTTGAGAAGAGTGAGTGCACTTTCATACAAAACTGGAGCAAACATTTTAGAAGAATTTTTCCAATTTTCTATCAATATTTATCAAGAAACTTTAAAATATCCATACAATTTAAACCCGTGATTCTAGAATTCCACTTCTGGCCATAAATTCTGTTGAAATAATCAGAAATGTAGTCAGAGGTTATGAGCAACATCATGTATTGCAATTCTGTATATACTGATCAATACACATCCAATAAGCAAGAAAGGTTAACTACATTATAGTCAATGTATAAGATATAATATTTGGCGACTAGTAAAAATAATGGTTTGGGGAATATTTAGTACAAATGTTTCATGATACATAACATTAAAAGTTTAGATATAAAAGTATGAGCCATATGATTTCAACATAATAAATATTTATGTATTTAACATGTGCACACCAAGAAGACAAAGGAATGCTCATCAAACCATCATTTTTATTTATGGATGATGTTATTTTCTGTAATCTTCTATATTTTTCAACTTGCAATTAGCTTGTATTACTTTATAATCAGAAAATAATATTAGAAGAAATGCCTAATACAGTATACTCTATCCTTTTCCAACTGTTGACATTCATTTCTAAAAGTTGGCATCTATATTTGGAGCATTGAATAAAACTGATTTTTAAACACTAGTTGTGGGGTTGTAAATTGGCACAATCTTTCTGAAAATTTTTTGACAATATATATCAAGAATCTTTAAAATGTTCAAAGACTTTAAGCCAATAGTTTCACTTCCAAAGCCTATTCTTTTTTTTTTTTTAATGTTTATTCATTTTTTTTTTTTTTGAGAGAGAGACAGAACATGAGTGGGGAGGGGCAGAGAGAGAGGGAGACACAGAATCCGAAGCAGACTCCAGGCTCTGGGTTGTCAGCACAGAGCCCAACACGGGGCTTGAACCCACAAAGTACAAGATCATGACCTGAGCTGAAGTCAGATGCTTAACTGACTGAGCCACCCAGGCAGCCCTCCAAAATCTATTCTAAGAAAATAATCAGATGCCAACAAATTTGTTGATTGCAGTGCTAGTTATCAAAGCAAAAAGAAAAAAAAAGAAAAAGGAAGAAGGAAAGAAAGAAAGAAAGAAAGAAAGAAAGAAAGAAAGAAAGAAAAAAAGGAAAAAGAAACAGCCATGAAATGAAAGAAGAGTCGTTAAATACATTATGGTATATCCATACAATGAAATATATTGTGGTTATTAAAATATTGTGAAAGAAGTTTAACGACTCAGAAATGTTTAAAGAATAATATTAAAAGATAAAGTTGATAATAGAAATCTGTATACACAGTATGGATCTCTCCCTCGCTTTCTCTCTCCCTGTTATATGTTTAATATATATCTAAAATTTATGTATGGATCCCTATTTGTGTATACATGTGAGTGTATTTATATATGCCAAGAGAAAGGGAAAGAGAAGAGAAACTGAAAACAAAATAAACCAAAATGTTAGTAGTAATTTTGATGATATCTACGTATTGGAATATTGAGTTAACTAATAATAGTTAACATGAAGTGTGGTATTGGTTTCAGGAGAAGCCCAGTGATGTATCACTTCCATATAAAACCCAATGCTCATCCCAACAAGTGTCCTCCTTAATGCCCATCAACCTATTTAGTCCATCTTCCCACCCACCTCCCTTCTAGCAACCCTCAGTTAGTTCTCTGTACTTAAGAGTCCCTTATGGTTTGCCTCTCTCTGTGTTTTTATCTTATTTTTCCTTCCCTTCCCCTATGTTCATCTGTTTTGTTTCTTAAATTCCATATATGAGTGAAATCATATATTTGTCTTTCTATGACTTATTTTGCTTAGCATAATACACTCAATTTCATCCATGTTGCTGCAAATGGCAAGATTTCATTCTTTTCAATTGCCAAGTAATACTCCATTGTGTGTGTATACACATATATATACATCCTCTTTACCCATTCATCCATCGATGGACATTGGGCTCTTTCCACAATTTGGCAATTGTTGCTGCTGTAAACATTGGGGTGCATGTGCCCCTTCACAGTAAGAATATGGCCAGATCTTAATGTGGAATAATACATAAAAGAATACACACGTGTGTGTAAGCACACACACACACACACACACACACACACACACACACCTGTGTATCTGTAAAGAGGGAGACTGAAAAGAGATATGGTTAAAATTAAGCACAGACTTGAGCGTTATGGAGACCTAATATGACCTAATATGATCTCTTATTGCCTGGGTAATCTTGAGCAAGTCACTTCATTTTAGTAAGCCTCCGTTTCAGTGTCTACAAAATAGAATAATACTTGTGTATTTCTATATTGGTTAGGGATTTTTTAGTGATAAGTGGAAGGAATCAGACCTGCGTAACTTTATATTTAAAAAAAAAATGTTGCAAGGGTATGAGAAATCTTATAGATTCAGAGGAATATCTGAAGAACCCAGCATGGGCAAAAGCAGGTCCCAGAGCTGCTCATTAGATCTAGGTAATGAAACTATAGATGTCTTCTCAGGAGAACACCACCTAGATGAATACACTTAAATAGTTGCTAAGTTTTTCTGGGTCATTCTCTTCAAGATTCAAGTTCCAGAGAGGGCATCCAATTAGCCTGTCATGGGATATGTGTCCAGCCCTTTGCCAGGAACAGAGTGAGCCCCTAGATTGTCTGTCCCACCAGTACTGCAGACCCAAGGTGAATCGTGGGGTGGTTGCCCTGTGTAGATGGAGAGTGGGGGAGATGGATGCCTGCAGACAAAAATAAAAACAATTTTCTCTACGTAATTTCACACGGTTGCTGTGAAAATCAAATGCATACAAAATGCTTAACAGAGATCCCAGCTCATCATAGTTGGTCAATACATTTTAGCTATTATACACACTGTGTGTATGTCTTGGGTGTGTGTGTGTGTGCGTGCACACACACATTCTTATGTTTCCCCTCATTTTTTAAAACAAAGTATATATATCAAAATATTAGCAGAGGTTGTTCAT